TTTTTTTTTTTTTTTTTTTTTTTTTTTTTTTTTTTTTTTTTTTTTTTTTTGCTTTCTCCTACTCTTAGATGTCTTTTGGGGCTCTTAGTTGTTAAACAGTAGTGCCAGTAGTTCCTTTCTTCTGTTGTACCTTAATATAACCCTGGGTACAGAAATGACGTACCAAGCAACCAGATGTGGCACTATATAGAAACTTCTAGACAAAAAGCAGTATTGCAGTTTTGGGCAAATGTGTTGTAAAATCCTTCTTTCCAAGGTGAATGAAGTAACATCATTCTTTGTTGTCATGTCACACAGATTTAAAAGTGGGTTTGCTGTAGTTACTCAGTGTATATCTGCTCCAAAATGAGAAACATTTCACAGGCAGGAATATCCCTGAGTGGGATTGGTGTCTAACGCAAACTGAAAGCAGTAAGACATGTAATCAGCACCCTGGGCTGCTTGCTCCCACTGTGAGGGTGGGAGAAGTGAATCACTCCTAAACATCACGGTTTTTTGCAGGGCTAGAACCTGAGGCACCTCCAAAAGCTCCAGTGGGGAAGACATCAGCAGGACCAGCTCCACCGAGCTCCCGAGCACAGCTGAGAGGGAATGAAGATGAACTTGATCCAACCTGTGCAGCTGCCACACTGAAACTTATTAGGGACAAACTACCAAAGCTACCACCTCCTCACACCAGGTTATATTTGTGTTAATTCTTGTAGAATCCTCTTGCTCCTGTGTTTATCAGTCACGACAGCACACTGAAAAGCATTCATGAACTAGGCAAGCTGCTAAGGCTGTCTTGGTTTCAGTTTGAAGTTACATTCATTGCTTAACATTTGGGATTTTGCTGATTATTGCACCAGGATCTTAAGGAATCTGTTACTTCTCAGTTAATTTAGCTTTCATTTGGTGTAAATGGCCTTTATGAAAATACGCTGTTCCCTTCTTTGCTAACAAAAAATCCTATCCTTTTTTATTCAGGTAATTTTTTGTTTGCAGCTAAACAAAACGTATCCTGATACTAAATTAGCAACGAGTTTCAACCATCTCTTGGTTCCCCAATGACTTTAGCTGTCAGTGCTACCTGGAGATGTGTTGTACTGGTTCATACTGTTGTCAGCCCTGTTCGAAGTTAGGTAGACCTCCAGCCTTGCCTTGCATTTATCTGGGATTTGGGAATAAAACTGGGAGTCACCTCCTTAGTGACACTTCTGCCTTGGCCACGAAGGCACCTAAAACCTAGCAAACTGGAATGTGATCTGAGAAAGGGGCTTGCTTCATTAGAACTCCAGAGTTTGGAGTAATCAGGTACATATTTTGACTTTCAGTCTTTAAAGATTTAATGTTTCAGTACAGTGACTAAGACTGTATGAAGCTCAGTCAGTAAGAGTAATGAATTCTGTCGTGGTGTTGCACAATGAGTACATTGCAAGATGGAATTTTGTCAACAAAAGAAAGACTTTGCAGTCTGTGTCACTGCCATGCAAACACGGGCATGAATTTACTGTGGTAAGTTCTTTATAGAAACGATTTCCAGTACCACATACCTGCCTAGATCTAAGGTAATATTAGTGTTGGCCATCTGAAAAATCTAATGAGAACAGAGAAAAAGTTGTTGTGATCACTGCTGTTTCCTATGTTGACTTTTCATCAATTTTCTCCAGTGAGTCTGCAACTCCTGAGGCAGCAGCCTTGGAGGATCCTGATGGTAAGAGAAGAAAACTAGAGGAAGAAAGAGCTAAAGCTCCCCTCATGCCTTTTGGATTAGATCTTCACTACTGGGGAGAGGATCAGCCAAGTGCTGGGAAGATTCTCAAGTAATGCTCTTTTTCTTTTAAGACAAATTAAACAAATAAATAGATTTACTTGTACTCAGAGGTCATGCAGTGGGGTGACTGCTATTTCTTTTGATAATTACTCTTCTCCTTTCCCTTGTGTTGTAGGACCCATAAACAAAGTCAGAAATTCTACCTTTAAATGTTATTTGTTTTGAGAAGATGTGATACTAATTAAATATCCTTTGATGCTTCAAAGCACACTTTTTTCCTGCTCTTTTCATGTGTGCAGCATGGAATCAGTTACTCCAATTTAAGTTGGCACCTCATTATGCAAAGTGCTCTGCCCAAGTGCATGATAGACATTCCCTCAGCTGGAGACTTTGCTGTCTAAATAAGTAGCAGGCAAGGCAGGAGAAAGGCTGGGGAGCTGTCAGGGGTATTTTTCCTGAC